TAGGTTGAAGATAGCCTCAGACTCGGCGAGTCTTTTCTTGGACTCGGCGAGTCTTGTCGAAGAGTCCTAATATTTTCTGGTTGAGTCGAGAATCGGTGAGTCAAGGGATGACTCGGTGAGTTGGGTGCGAGTGGACTCAGAGTTGTTGGACTCGGCGAGTCTTGGGGTGACTCGGCGAGTTGGGTCACTGATTGAGGGAAGTTCTGAGCATAGGGACTCGGCGAGTCATCTGGTTGACTCGGCGAGTAGGGTCAGTCGGGGGTTGACTTTGACTTTGTCCAAGGTTGACCAGTTGTCTTCCAGGGGTATTTTGGTAATTAAAGGTATTTATTGAATTGAATGTTTTGGTGTTCAGTGGAGGAGTTCGTGTCAGAGTTAGAGCAGCGGGATCTTATCCTTTCAGCCATCAGTTTCGAGGTGAGTTATCCTCACTATATCAACAGGGTCTAAGGCACCAAGGCCGGCCCTTATCGGATTAAGATTCGGGTAGTTGTTGTTATTTTGTTGTTGTGATATGCTTGCATCCTGAGAGTTAGGACGATATATGTTAGAGACGTGATTGAGATCGGAATCCTGAGAGATAGGGAGATGCTATGCTAATGACCTGTTAGGTCGGTATCCTGCTTAGAGTATGTTATGCTATGTGATTTGCTAGATCGGCTTGTTTGAATGTGAACTGTTATATGATTATATGTTTATGTGTACATGGTTGTTTGGACTGGAGATAGGTTGAGGCGGTCCTGCTTTGTGCTGTAGGCCAAGATACTCAGGGCGGACCGGTTGTTCTGAAGGCCCAACGAGCGGTCTGGATATGCTGTAGGCCCCATGCGGGTGGACCAGACGTACCGAGGCTCGGAGAGTGGACCAGGCCGACTGAAGGCCCGATGCAGGCGGGCCAGTCATACTGTAGACTCAGAGAGTGGACCAGGTGAGTTGAAGGCCCAGTGCGGGCGGACCAACCACACTGTAGACTCGAGGTACTTGATTGGACTCGGAGGGTGGACCAGGTGGACTGAAGGCCCGTCATAACGGACCAGTCCCACAGTAGAACCGTTATGCATGACAGTTCTGTGATTCGTTATGAGATAGTGAGATATGTGTATGGTATATGAGGTTGGTATTTTGGGGGTATCTCACTAAGCTTTCGGGCTTACAGTTGTGGTTTAATGTTTTTCAGGTTCTTCAGGGAGCAGTGGCAAGGCAAAGGCGTGATCGTACCGTTCCTCGCGTTTACGTTTATAAAATGAACCTGGGAATACTCTGATGAATAATGTATTGAAAACCTTTTGTAATAGTGTTATTAAAGTGGATTGTTTTTGAAAAATTTAAATTGGCTGGATTTTTCGGTTGTTACATATAACTTCCATCATCATTCTCTGCTATAAACATTCGCTCTTGTGCGCTAGAAGGTCAATACCTTCTTTCGCTTTTTATATTTTTTTTGATTATTTTTTGTTCCTATATCAAATGTATGTATTCATATATTTCGATTTTCTTTGTCACAAATTACATGAAATCAGTTAACTACTTTTCTGAAACTTTTCAAATAAACATGAAAAGATATTAGGTACCTTTAACAAAACAAAAATTAACTATCTTAGGAACTGACATTAATTACAAAAATGTTACTTTTATATATTAGAGATGGTTATGATTTTTTTTTAATTTTTATGTCATAAAAATCCGGTTAATTTTGATATAATTTTAAAATATCATTGAAATTATTATGTTTTTGTATATCATATCAACCTACTTTTTTATCTTTATATAGTAACAATAAAATTTATTAATTTACACAACAAATATAGATATTTCAAATTTTGTAATATTGTTATACCTTACAACATATAACTCCCTCCAAAATAAATTTTCGGCAGTAATTTTATCCATAATTTCAACAAATTTAAATTTGTATTTTCTTTATATAAATTTTTTTTAATGATCCTGATTTTTTTTCTCCAAAAGTATATCAAACATTTACGTCTTAGACAATGCTGCCCTGTTATAATTATTGTTTTCCAAAAGTATATCCGTTTAGTGTGGAATTTGATATAATAAAGAAAGTGAATGTTAATTAAAATGAGATATATATTCCATAATTATTACGTGAGTTTATTAAAAAAAATTAATATCAAGGTGTAAACATTAAGCATTTTTAAAGTGAAATTTCATAATACATACAAACGATGATATTGTACAATGAAATATCAAATTGAATAGACTGAAAAAAAAAACACTATTAAAGCAGTCAATCTTCAAAAATAACATAGTTATGAAAAATTATAAAGTAAGATAAAAATTATAAGATATTAGGAGATTTGTAAAAAGTACATTTAGTAAAAAAAACATTACGGTTATTAGAAAAAATAAGACCGTTAAGATGAGTGAAAATACAATATATAAACTAAATTATCATAATAGGAATGAAATGTCATTATTTGATATTTCATATAATTGAAAGATATATAAAATTACATTGATGATATACTAAAATTATTCAAAGTTGCGCTAAAACTAATGCAAAGTTCTTGCGAACACCAAATAAATAAGAACAAACATAAAAGCTAGCATTTATATTTATAATCAATTTAAAATAAACCAATCATGATTTAGAAAAGAATCTCCATTGATGATATACTAAAATTAAATATATATAACATTTAACATTTTATAAATTATATTGTATAAGTTTATTTGAATAAATGAAATACTTGTCAATATTTAATACAATAGAAAAAATGGTATATTAGTTATCAATATATGTTTAAATTAAGTAACATTATTATGTAAGGAACGTCTAATTAAAATGTTATAAATATATAAATATCATAAATATATGAGACGAGGAAAATCGTTCAACTAATAAAACAAAAAATAATGTCTAGAAAGAGATCTTTTAATGATTATATATATTTATCGTTTTTATTGTATTTTCTATACATTTTAATAATAACAATAACCATATATTTTTTTTTATAATTATTATACAATATCTATAGACCAGTATATGTTTTTTATACGTTTTGGCGTTTAAGGTGAGCTATAATCTAGTTTTTCATGGTAACAAAATAAATATCTATATCTGTTCAACTATTATTCCATTAAACCATTATTGGGATTGTCCGATGCACCTTTAATTTGTGTAACGGCGTCTGATACTAACGTGGCAATTGCGACGTGGTTGAATAGCAGTGGTCACCAAACCTCTATTGTTAAGTAATTGCTTTTTTTCACCTCCACGCCTATTTAACCCACTAAATGGGTCACTGCTTTTTGGTTATAGTGACAGTATGGTGCCATGGTCCATCAAAGATGTATCATTCTTACACATGTAACAATTTAGTTGTTCCTTTAAAAGAAAATTCCTAAAAACTAAATTATTTTCCCATACACAATGTTGCGATAACTGGTTCAAGGATATGTTGTAACAAACATGATTCTAAAATACTAGTATAGCATTCAATATATACTCATTATACATTAATATTAAAAATAAGAGAAACTATAATCTATATTCGTTAAATATGCAATATTTTATGGTGATTGAGTTTAGGCTTTAGCGATGCAAGCAAAGAAAAGAAAGAACACATGAAAGATGGACTTGTTCGCTCAAAGAAATTTAACCTAAATCTACAGACTGAAAATCCAAGGCTTCTTTGATTATTCAACTACTTCGACAGATATATTAGAAACCATAGCAACGAGTATTTATAACTCAAAAAACCTAGAACTATTGGTCGGACCAATATGCAACTAATCATAAATAAAAGCATGTCCATACCATAATCATCGGTCATTCGCGCACCTTTCAGAATCCGGGTTTTAACTTTTGGTTCTAGTCGCAGACATTCCCAACTACAAACCAATGCTAAGTATCAATATATACACCTAAAGTGATAATTATAATGAACATATATATATATATATATATATATATATATATATATATATATATATATATATATATATATATATATATATATATATATATCAATGGCGGAGCCATGATCAAAATAAGAGAGTATCCCGACAAAAAATAATTGCATAATATACAATAAGAAAAAAATTCAAAAAAAATTACACTGATGAATTTTTTTTAGGGGTATTCTGGACTAACTCGGGATATATACTAGAACTGCCAATAATATATATATATATATATATATATATATATATATATATATATATATATATATATATATATATATATATATATATATATATATATATATATATATATATATATATATATATATATATATATAAACTGTTATATTAGTCTGTCATGAAGATGATTAAATCAATGAAATCGTTTTCAAGACTTCCCCTAGGCCTAACTAATGAAATGTTACACGATAACCTGTTCACAAATAATGCAAACCCTCTTGAGATTTCTTGTATTCTAATTAATTATATACACATTACTGATAAAATTTTATCAAAATGAAATGCTACACGATAAATTTTTAGTTATATACACATTAATATACTTTTTAAATAATAATGTTTTGATTTTTATAAATTCGTAGTGGTATCCGATATTTTCTTTCTTTTTTGAAATCTATGATTCAAATATTGTTAGAGACATAGATGGATTTAAAAATAATTTCAAAGTGAAATAAAATTTTCCTTAAAAAAAACCAAAGAGTAAATTATTATCAAATGACCATAGTCTTATCCAATCGAAGTCTGCCACCAATAATTGCTGATTGAACCTCGTAACAGAAAGAGGAAAAAAAAAAAAGCAGTCTCGACAGTAAATTAACATATATAAAACTAATTACACGTGTTCCAATATAGAAGGTAGTAACAAGTCAATAGTTAACTTAACATCAAAGGACAATCGACGTGTATGATTGTGTCTTCCCCCCCCCCCCCCCCCCCATGCCCCCTATATATACCACTCCTTCCATCATTCCATTTCATCAACAAGTTCTTTGCATCATCAATATATCATATCTGGACAAAAAAAAACATCAACAAGATTCCTACTTATAGAAATGGAACAAAATCCAACGGTGTTAGCCAAGAAAGTTTGGAGCTTCATTCGTGTGCCCTATTTCATGCTTCGAAAAGGGATATCCAAGAGAAAATTGTTGTTGGACCTCAACATGATGATTAAACGTGGCAAGATCTCCGGAAAGGCCTTACACAACAGTATTTTCCACCACCATAACAACCGGGCGGCTTTCACCACCAACCACCGCTCCCACCACCTCTCTTTCACATCTTCCCCGCCTGATGAATACGAGTTCAGCTGCACCAACAGCCCTACCAATGGTGACGATCACCCATTCTCTCCAATTTCACCTCGAAAGAAACATCACTCCAACTGTAAACCGGCGGAGGATCTTGATACGATGGCCGTCAATGCTGTGCTTAAAGCCATGGAGATGATTCACAGCGAGGCAGTGTCACCGGCGCTTCCTGGGTATGGGAGGAGTCCGATGGTTAGGCAGCTGAGGGTTACCGACTCTCCGTTTCCGTTGAGTGGTGTGGATGAGGACAACCATGTAGATGAGGCGGCGGAGCAGTTCATAAGTCGGTTCTATAACGACTTAAGGCAGCAGTCGTCGTGAAATAACAAATATCTTCTTTTCGAATATGTTGTCATTTACATCTGTTTACAAGTATAGTTTTTGGTAGTGCTTGTAAATGTCGTTTGTAAGTAATTGTTGGATGTGCCTGAGATGCGAATATGCACCTGTACATTTCATACATGTTACACTGATTTAGAAGAATAAACTTTTGGTCGAAGTTGAATAGTTATGATGGACTTCTAGTTCATATATATATATATATACAAATATGTTCTCTAAATTGCAACCAATGTCTCAGCAACTGCTTTGTAATTTTTGCAAGAATTAATATTGGTTTCATCCAGGAAAATTTTAGAATTAACGTTGCATTACAACCCTTTTCATTTGCAAAAAAGAAAAGTAAAATAAAATAAAATAAAAATAAAAAAGAATCAAGTTCAACAGCATTTTGTTGGAAAAATCCGGACAAACCAATGTCATAAGCCGCAATTTAAGGATTCTTACCCTCGATTAAAACACGTTTTAAACTTAAATGACTAAATAATGAGAACAGATTTATTTTTGTTTATATTGATCGTAAAATTAAAACCATCTTTATTGTAGTGGTTATGGAATTTTTTTTAATTAATAATCTAAAGCAGTAACCACTAAGAAAAGGAAAGTAAGAACTTTACTTTTCCAAAAACACCACCACATAGATTTTCACAAACCTATATCTCTTCAATAGAGATTTGTGGTTGATCTCTGCCTAATGCGTAAGAGTACACTTGTATATCGCACTTATTTCTTTTTCAATTTATACATTTTTAGTGTTACTTGGTAGCCTTGTGATTTGACAAGGGAAAAATAATATTCATTGATCGAGTAGTATAATTATTAATGAAAACTATTAAAGATACTTTTATCGTTTAGATCGAAGGGAGTGGTGCCATAAAAGTTGCATTTCCTTCATTGTCACGTAGGCATCACCTTATCATTAACCATAAAAATATGGGTTCATACCACACTTACCTCGTCATTAACCATAAAAATATAGGTTCATACCACACTTAAGGAGTAGTGTTACACTTGAATGTTTTTTTAATGAATAAAAGTGACCAATCAGGAGGCGGTAAGAAAAAGGGAACAATCACATTGTTTGAAGGAGTCACTACAAGAAATGGAGGCATTAGTGGCGACGCCTTTAGCGGCGACATATGGTATTATCGACGACATATAATTCACGTGTTACATGTCACCGCAAATACCTTTCGACGCCGCTAATGGTCACCTAATAGCAATCCGCGTCAAACGAGCCCCATCTGTTCAATTTGTTTTCAATCCAAGGATGGTAACAGAGCGAAAAAAGGCGTTCACTTTTTCCTCCAGGGTGTCGCTGCTAATAGTTATTCGTCGCCGCTAAAACCTATGTGACGCCGCAAATGCCCGTCACTGCTAAAGGCCTTTACAGATAACCCCCCGCTCCAGCTTCCTTTCTTGTGTATCATGTCTTCTCTTACCTGTGGCACCTCCCAGTCGGCGAACAAGCAACTCCGACCATCCAACAACCCAGCCGCCAGTTCCTGCCACAACACCGCCATCACCGACGATCAAACCTCCAATACCGGCGACCTAGACCTCAATTACCGACGACCTAGCTGCAATTCCGAAATGTTGACGATTGAAGGTCGAATTCCTCCCTATTTTTTATTATTCTTCTTTTTTTATGGTAATTTGCGTGATGAATCTGTCGTATAATTCTCAGATTTTGTTTTGTTGAGTGATTATACTTGTACTTTGAGGTATGGAAGTGTTTATACATTTTGAGGGATTATATATGCTTTTCAGATTTATGCAACATTTTGTATATGTTTCTCAGATTTGTGTTTATGCTAAATGTGGTTTATTGGCTTGAAAATGAAATTAGGCATAAAATTGAAATTGGAAGTATATATTTATTTGATTTTGTGTTTAGATGTATACATTTGTTTGAAATTGAAATTGGATGTCTAAAATGGTAGGCACTATTCGGTATTTGCTGTATGAAATTGGATGTATTGCTTAATTGTTTGAAATTACAATTTGAATTGGATTTATTGTATGCTTAATTGTATGAAATTGGAATATGAAAGTTGTATTGTATGTCTAAAATGAAATGAAAATTGGAATTGAATGTATTGTAGATATGTATGATTATGTGAGTCGGGGATCCACCACCGCCAATAGGATTTGGTCGCGGTCAGCACGGAGAGTATGGTAAGTCTTATTATGATATAGTTATTAACTACTATTTTTTTTAAAAAGTATTATAAATTATTGTGACTAATAGTTTTAATTGTATTTGTTTCAGTTGAGCTTCCAAAGAAAAGAACGGAAAGTTGATACGGGCAAATAAAGGCAAATAAGGGAAAGCCCGTGGATTTGGATTTTGACAGGGAGATCACATATTCCCCTATTGGGAAGCGTGCTAGTTGGTTTTCACGTGAGATTGGGAGGCATATGTGGATGAACATACCTTTCAGCATATCTGGTTGGGACAATGTTTTCCCCGTGTTAAGGAATGCAACAGTTGTGCATCTAAAGGTAACTTTATTAATATTTTAAGTTTAGTTGTGATTAGTATTTAATTAAGTAACCTTTTTGTATTTATAGAATAATTTTGATTTGGATAAGTTTAACATGGATCCCGAGCGTGCTGAGCTGTTGCGGAGCACTGATGCGAGTGTTGCAAAAATTTACGGAGGGCAGAAAAGTAAAGAGCATACTTATTTTACAGAGTTCGTGCAAAACAAGAAGTTGTAAACAGAGGGGATCGACCTCTTATAGCAATGTCTGTTTCAAAGAAGTAGGTTATGTTATATTCAACTGATCATTTAAAGTATAATTAATCTAATTTTTAATGTTAAATAGGATATCACTCGAGTAGAAGCATTTCGTAAGGCTAATACAAATCGCTAAGGGGTATTTAGCAGTCCTGCAGTCGAGCAACAATACGTAAGTGGTTAATTTGTATTTTCATATAAGTTTTTATTTCATTAAAAGAGTTATTTAGTAATCTAATTTTTATGTTGTTTATCATTTTTTGAAAATACAGTTGGCTTTAATCCAAGTGATGTATCAACAAACTCAATTTTCTTCTGAAGCAAGCGATCTAACACCAAATGAAATAAAAAATTGTTTTGAAAAAAATATTGCATGTTCGACGCGTTCATATCAGAGGCATTGAGCATAAACCTCCTACTGTTGTGTCTGTGTACGATTAGAAATAATCGATGACACAATAACCACCACAATCACAAGTAATTGTTAGTCTAAGTTGAAAAATATAATGCTATAATGATATGTTGGTAATTGTTTGTTTAGTGTATAGTATATTACTATAATGCAAAGTAGAATGCTATAATGATATGTCGATTATGGTTTGATATGTTGATATTTTGTATTTAGGTAATTTTATAAAAAAAGATTTGTGTTGTTCAATGTATGTTTGATAATTGTGATGCAAAAATGAAGTTACACAACCTGTGTTTCCGTGGCCGGCCAGGGGTGTGATAGATTGGTATCAGAGCCATTGACTATAGTGAACTACTACGTTCTTAGGAAAGCACGACTATAATGTGGGGCTTACTCTATTAGGTTTAGGTATATCCCTTAACTTACAGTAAAAATTATTATTAATTATTTACTGAAGGGCTACTTACGGGAGCGGTGACAGGACTGAAGTGTAACAACCCAAATTTTCAAAAGAAAATTTTTATTTTTAATTAACGGAAATATTTCACAAACCATTGGGTTTCCAGTTACAATTGTTTCCAAAATTCATTTCAAATCATCAGAGTGTCCCATAAAATGTCAGAGAGAGAGAAAAATAGAGAGAGATAGAGAGAGAGAGAATACCCATCGTGCCATCAAGCTTTGCCCTTGACATTAGGCTCAGATGTATCTGCACAAATCCACAAACTGTAAGCTAATACTTAGTGATTTCCCCAGAGCATACCCCCTACACACAAGCCACATAACATGTATCATATTAACTATAAAAGCTATCTCTACTGTCAGCTATAAAAATTGTCTCTACCACTAGCCATAAAGGCTATCTCTACCGTTAGCTATAAAAGCTATCTCTACCATTAGCCATAACGGCTATCTCTACTATTAGCCATAAAGGCTATCTTTACCATTAGCCATAAAGGCTATCTCTACCATTAGCTATAAAACCTATATCTACCATTAGCTGTATAATCTATTTCTACCATGCTATAAAATTATCTGTACCATTAGCTATAGAAGCTATCTCGACCACGTATCACTGCATAAGTATGCCACACACACCAAGTATGCAACAACCCCCCTCCCCCTGGCGATGGTATGTCACATGGATATTGGGCGAAGACAGTGGAACATTTTCAAACGCCTAGATTTTTAAGGCTTTTGGCATTAATGAAAGAAGTTCGTGCAAAACAAGAAGTTGTAAACAGAGGGGATCGACCTCTTATAGCAATGTCTGTTTCAAAGAAGTAGGTTATGTTATATTCAACTGATCATTTAAAGTATAATTAATCTAATTTTTAATGTTAAATAGGATATCACTCGAGTAGAAGCATTTCGTAAGGCTAATACAAATCGCTAAGGGGTATTTAGCAGTCCTACAGTCAAGCAACAATACGTAAGTGGTTAATTTGTATTTTCATATAAGTTTTTATTTCATTAAAAGGGTTATTTAGTAATCTAATTTTTATGTTGTTTATCATTTTTTGAAAATACAGTTGGCTTTAGTCCAAGTGATGTATCAACAAACTCAATTTTCTTTTGAAGCAAGCGATCTAACACTAAATGAAATAAAAAATTGTTTTGAAAAAAATATTGCATGTTCGACGCGTTCATATCAGAGGCATTGAGCATAAACCTCCTACTGTTGTGTCTATGTACGATTAGAAATAATCTATGACACAAAAACAACCACAATCACAAGTAATTGTTAGTCTAAGTTGAAAAATATAATGCTATAATGATATGTTGGTAATTGTTTGTTTAGTGTATAGTATATTACTATAATGCAA